ATATATATGTTTATAAAGAGGTGATTTCTGCGGACGATAGCATGTATGTAAGGATAATAATGAGTACATAGTTTATAAAGGGGTGACTTATGCGGACGTATGTTTATTCTACTTTTTATAAAAATTTTAGTAATTTTTCAATATACTCAAAATCTAGGGACGACATAGAGCTACTTATAGCATTATTTTATTGTATTTTTAATACAGCGTGTACTTGAAATTAAGAAATTTACAAATGAGAATATTAATGTAAAACTTCTTTGTAAAAAAAAATAGAACCTTAGTCTATAAAAGTAAAAATCAAACTTTCCATTAATCAATATTTAATATTAAAATAACAAAGCAGCAATATGGTATGTCCCATTGGAAATAAAATCTCAAAATTTGTATTATTATAATATTGGCGAAAAAAGTAATTTTTTGAATTTGGCAAAACTAAGACCTCCTTAGGAAACGAAATTTGTCATGATTTTAGCTATCTAATATTTATATTATTCATTTTATGTACAGACCTTTTGGAGTTCCAGTACTACCAGAAGTATACAAAACTACAGCCAGTCCATTTGTGTTTTCTCGTATTACAATCTTCTCATTCGTTTTTTCTTCCAGTTTTAGTATCAATTCTGTATCGAATACAGTTTTAGTGCCTTTGAAGATACCTAGGTTTGCTACAATTTAAACAATATGTTAACTATTATCTACAGTTTCTGATTCATTGTTATGTGTGAAAAGTTATTTGTCCATGGTAATACAATTTTGATTCTTACTCATCATAATATAAGTATATAGGAGGAAAAAGAAATTAAACGTGCTGAGAAGAAATATAGCTTATGTAAAGGTAATTACAATATTTAAATACCTATACAAAATAACGAAATGANAATATGTATTCATAAAGCTAAAAAATATATTATGTATAAAAAATGTACATATAACAACAGAGCTTTGACAAGTTTTGGTATACTTTGCTCAGAGAACTAGACCAGACTATAATGATCGTGAAGAAATCTAGTATACCAGGCTCGAATACAAGTTAATTAGTCGAGTTGTCTGCTCAATTTGTGATTCAGATCGTTCCAAATCAGAAAAATTCCTAATGACTTATGAGGTCGAGAAAATAATCCGCCGACACAGCTAACGAGAGACTTAATAGCTTTACTGTCCTCTAACCTCAAAGTCGCAACTTCGCCGCTTTGTTTTCGATTATTGGGCAGTAAAATAGTTTACGTAACTCGTCTGAAAGGCTTTTTTACGAACCTCGTTACGGCCCTCGCTTTCGGCTTGTGCCGCAAACTTCTTGGTTCGTAAATACAGCCTTTCGCAAACTCGTTCGTAATCTACTAAAGATATTGAAATACCTAAAAATGACCCAGGTGTTGATGTTCCAACTTGCTCAGGATGTACGAAAATTTGTTATGAGTTGTTAGAATTACTTTGTTTAGGCAGCTATTTCTACCATTCCCAATAACTTTCTTACAAGCATTATTAGTTTTTCATCCTTAGAGAAGTGTAGACAACTTTATGATGCCGTTTTCAATATTCATTAACATAAATTAGGAAAGGTAAATTTGTACACCACATAAAATGTTTTAAATTTATAATTTCCAATATTACCGTAAAAACGAATATTTTAAAATTCTACTAATTGTAAAACTTTCACACCCATGCCTTATCGCTGAAAGAATTTGTCTAAAATCACCTCCTAGAATAAATATTTTTTCAGCGATAAGATATTATTATCACATGAGTCTTTTAAGGTTTCATCTGCTATTTTCAAATCTTTCTTAAGGATCACTAAGACTTTTTTCCCAATTCTGACATATACTCCTTGTAACTTTTGTTGTTTAGTTTCATATTCTTAACAGTGCCGTCTTTAGGCATAAACCGACGAAGCCCAGGCTTGGGGCCTCCGCCTTGATGGGGGCCTCTTCATATTCAATTTTTTTTTTAAACAAATTTAAACGCAAAATTCAAATTTTCTTATTCGTTATCCAATGATAATTTTAAAAAATCTACTATGAGCATAAGTGATGAAGTTTTAATTTATTATGGGTCTTACGTTTTATAAGATATAGNATTTAATTATGTTGCAGGTAGCTTTGACCTTATGTCGACGCCACCTAGCGGATTTTGCTGAACTAAAGTGAAAAGCTAGCGTATTTTTGCAAAACTTTTAGCTCATTTATTGCTATTGATATTAAATTTTTTAAGATAAAAACTATCCTAAAACCATTTAGGAAGTATCATGAATCAGTGTGCAAAATTTCAGCCAAATTGGCTTAGTAGTTTTCGCGGTTAGCGATTACAACGGTTTTAGCAAATTTGCTTCATATATTAGTAAGATTTCTCAAGCGAATCAAGTAAGTTAACAACCACAGCTTAGTCCAATGTCTCTTTTTGCAAAGTTTTGTTAGTTTAATTGATTTCAAATAAAACATCATCCCAAAAATTGATTAAAAAAATATTATCAAATTGAGTTAGTTTTTCGAATAAACTTGAAGACTCGAGTCTAGTCTCACTTGATTGTGTTGGATCACTGGAAAGTAGCAAAAGAGATTTTAAAATATTGCCATAACTTCCACGAAGAGCAGTGAGAGCATTACTTCTGGCTGACCATCTGGTATCGGATAACGGTTTTAGCAGCTTTTCTTTGTCACGTAGGACTGATACTAACTTTTTTCACTTGTATGTGGATGCCGAAAAAAAAGTGTACAATTTCTGCACTAAATAGAAAAATTTCGTGACCACAGTACTGAAGTCTACGCTTTTAACGCAACTATTTAGTCTTGTATCTAGCATTGTGTTTCTGTGCTCATCTTTAAGAAATTTTAGAGCTGAAAAAAATCTCTCTCCAGTGCAGTTTGTTACCATCATACATAAAAATATTCGGAAACATATTTCAATATTTGGGAAAGTAGAAACTAAGAATTCTTTTTTTATTCTGGCGTACAAATCAATTATCGATGAATTACTCATTTTTCCTGATGTTTCTAAATAAAATTTGAAATGAACACATTCAGAAATCAAAGATTCTGTATGTGTATCAATATCATATTTTTCCGCTAGTGTTTCACACTTTTTTTCATTGCTCCGTCAGTCATCTCTTGCAAATGGGAAAAAAATAATCGAATTTCTCATTGAGTTTACTGTACGCTAATTTTTGTTTTTTTAGGTTAACAGAAAGAGAATCTATAATGGGATGAAAAGTTTCAATTTTTAATGAATCTTCTTTGTTGAAAAAAGTTTTATTACTTTGTCCCTCGAATCTTGTTCATTTAACACTTCTACTCTTTAATCTAGTTTTTTTTCATTAATTGTTATTTTATTACTCTCACTGAATTCCTTGGTTTTACTTATAGAATCATCAAATGTATCTTAAATTATAAAGGTATTTCTCAAGTGAATCAAGTAAGTTAACAACCACAGCTAAGTCTAATGTCTCTTTTTGCAAAGTTTTGTTAGTTAAATTGATTTTAAATAAAACATCATCACAAAAAATGGTTAGAAAAATATTATCAAATTGAGTTAGTTTTTCGAATAAACTTGAAGACTTAAGTCTAGTCTCACTTGATTGTGTTGGATCACTGGAAAGTAGCAAAAGAGATTTTAAAATATTGCCTTAACTTCCACGGAGAGCAGTGAGAGCTTTACTTCTGGCTGACCATCTGGTATCGGATAACGGTTTTAGCAGCTTTTCTTTGTCACGTAGGACTGATACTAACTTTTGCCACTTATATGTGGATGCCGAAAAAAAAGTGTACAATTTCTGCACTAAATAGAAAAATTTCGTGACTACAGTACTAAAGTCTACGCTTTTAACGCTAATTGAATCCAAAGAATGGCCAGCGTTTATTTAATTATTATATTTAATTCCTTTAGTCTAGCTAGGAGGCCTGAATATTGTCCTGACATATTTGACGCATTGTCATATGACTGGCCACGATAGTTATTGATACTAATACCATTATCATTAAAAAAATGTTAAGACGACTTTAGACAAATACTCAGCTCCATTGCCTTCAATAGGAAGAAATGCTAAAAATCTTTCACGTGGACCATCATTGGTGACATAGCGAATAGTAAAAGTCAATTTGTCCTGATGTAAAATGTCAGGAGTTGAATCTATACTTATAGAATAATACTTTGCTGCCTTGACTTTATTTATTACACAATCAAAAATTTTTTTTGCCATCAGTTCTAAAAGTTCTTCACAAATATTGGCTGATAAGTATGACGTATGACCAGATCCTTCATTCGCATGATTTTAAAAATGAGTTTTTAACAAAGGGTCGTATTCACTTATTAGTTCAAGTAACCCTAGGTAGTTGACATTTTTTTTAGATCCTAGTTCTTGATTAGCTCCTCGAAAAGCTAAACCTCGAGATGCCAAAAATTTAATTGCGCTAACAAGTCGACGAATCACCTCCGTCCAATATTTCTTTTCCTTTTCAGATTGTAGCATTAATTGTTTATCGATACAATCAATAATATTTTTTCGCTTGCTGTAAGCTAATAAGCAATTTTTATGCTCTGCGCTTTCTTCGTGCTCATGAATTCGTTTCATACCGATCCTCCAATCATCGAATTCCGGGTGAACTGAACTGATTATTTTGGGTTGACAATAATTTGCATACAAAGCAATATACTGATCCAGAGGACGGCGAATATAATAACCATTTGAAATTGAATGTCTCACTCAACACTTGTCAGCATTCTATTTTTTTTCTCACCATTTGGCTCATTGTATGTACGAATAGATTTTTCAAAAACATTATCAATATTTTGAAATATTGCTGGGCCTTTTTGGATACAATGTGCAACAAAAGTATCACTATTCTTTCATTTAGCTGGATCTGTTGAATAATGATTTCTTCACTATTCTCTGTAAAAATTCAAATAAATAAATTCATCATTTAACTGTGCATACTAATAATTTATTAACTTATTGTATTTAATACTTTTATTACTTTTTTTCTTCAAATTTGATTTTAGGTATATGTGTTTAAATTGGTGAAAAATTATTATTAGTCATTCGTAAAATTAATCCAGAGAAAAATTATAAAACAATACTCAATTGAATAACTCTGGTTATTCGAAAAATTTTCAATATGTACTCATAAAGCTAAAAAATATATTATTATGTATAAAAAATGTACATATAACAACAGAGCTTTGACAAGTTTTGGTACACTTTACTCAGAGAACTAGACCGGACTATAATGATCGTGAAGAAATCTAGTATATCAGGCTCGAATACAAGTTAATAAGTCGAGTTGTCTGCTCAATTTGTGATTCAGATCGTTCCAAATCAGAAAAATTTCTAATGACTTATGAGGTTGAGAAAATAATCCGCCGACACAGCTACCGAGAGACTAAATAGCTCTACTGTCCTCTAACCTCAAAGTCGCACCTTCGCCGCTTTTTTTTCGATTATTGGGCAGTAAAATAGTATATGTAACTCGTCTGAAAGGCTTTTTTACGAACCTCGTTACGGCCCTCGCTTTCGGCTTGTGCCGCAAACTTCTTGGTTCGTAAATACAGCCTTTCACAAACTTGTTCGCAATCTACTAAAGATATTGAAATACCTAAAAATGACCCAGGTGTTGATGTTCCAACTTGTAATCTATCAAAAGTGTTGTTACTGCAATTTAATTGCAAATCTTTATCA